ACAAGCTAATAAGATCTAGAGATACCATTGGCTGAAGATGTAAGTCCATCTCTGGAATTGTTTGGTGTAAGGAGTGAAGCCTTCTGCATGTCACCTAATAGTGAGGAGAACCTAATTTCAGGTTTACATTATGTTAGTCTGTTGTTTTTTCTGCCCCCCCTTCCTAAACTGTAAGTTTTAATTTCTCTACAGAGAGAGAAACTTGCACTAAAGCAGGAAATTGGAAAATTATGTCCTTTGTTAATTTTGGAATGAAATGCTATGATTCTACAGGAATATTCTAGCTGTGATATATTCAACAACATGGTGATAAAACAATAATCCCATTTCCTCCCTCACCTTTAAATGGGTCCCAGAATACAAATGCCATCTTCATCTAGTAAAATACAACTGTTTCTATTTGTGGCTGCTCAAAAAGAGGTGGCAAAACGTGGCAGTATTCCATGGAACACTGGAAACCAAACGGAAGTTCACATCAGGCTGTGAATTCCAGCATTAAAGAGTAAAGCCCAAAGGATGCTATTTTTGAAGGTCGGAGTCTGCATGGACATTAAATGCCTAGAGTCCTACTCTTCACAAATAATCTCTGTGAGGTCTCATAGGGCAAATAAGGACAAGCTGATCTATTTGATAAATGTCCTAGGAACTTGTGAGTAGCCATATAAAGTAAATAATTGTTAAGAAGTCTCTTAACAGATTTGTTAGGCCCAAGAGAGAGGATTTTCAGTGATTCATTCAGTAAGAGGAAGTCATAAGAAGCATTGAATGTGTTGGGAATAAAACAATGTTGATGTCAGTAAAGAATAAATTATATGATTAAAAATTCATCTCATATGAACTGTCAGAGGCATTTGAGAAATAGAATCATTGATGTTGGAGATGGAAAAGACCTGTTAGGATGATCCAATTCATCTTCCCTATTGAATATTGTCCCATCTATCTTTAAATGTCTCAAGCAACTGGGATTTCACCATTTCCCAAAGAAGACTATTCTCCAGCCTAATAGATTTAATTGGCAGGAATGTTTTCCTGATAACTAGCCTAAATTTTGCCTTTCTGAATTTCATCTCATTATTCATTTCTACTATCATAAATCATTCCTCTTCTTTCATGAATTAATACTTTTTAAATTTTAGAATACTCTTATAACCTCCCCCCCCCCCATTTAGTCTACACTTAACTAAACTACACATATTAATCCTCTTGTTTAATCATTCCTCCAACCAAGCCCTCCATCCCACTAGTCATTTTTCTTGTTTTTCTTTCAACTCCTTATTTATCTCATTTTGGTGTTGAGATACGCAGAACTAATACAGTACTCCAGGTATAGGAACCCAACATCTGCATAGAGAATAAATATTACCTCTGATGTTAAGACATGATGCTTCTGTGTATGCAGTCCAAAACCACATAGGTCTTCTGCATTGCTATATCCTGCTGTAAATTCATGTCTAATTCGCTTTCCGCTGTTACTGCAGGTGTGTCTTGGAGTCACAGGGGTCCATGTTTCTCCTTTCCACTGAATGTCTGTGCTTCAGATATCTTTTCCATGGATGTACCGGTTTGTACTTTTCCAAGACCAGCCCTCATTTTCCATCCATGTTTCTAATCTCTCTTCCTCTGTCCTTGCTGCAGGTCACCACTCCTCCCAGTTTAATATAATCTAGTAATTTTACTGTTCAGTCCCTCTTCTACATCATTCACAAAGATAAGACTGGACCTAACACTGATCCCTGGAGTAAACCACTATATACCTCCTCTTTCCTAGTTGCCGTTTGTCACTATCTTATGTTTATGGTCCTTCAGATATCTGTCAATTAATTTGACAGTGGTTGAATTCAAGATAATTAGAATTAATGTTAAGAGTAGACTTTTGTGTGACACTGAATCAGATGTTTTACTAAGATTCATGTGTTGTATCTGCCATTTTCCTGCCATCCACTAATTTTGTGAAATAAGACTGGGATTTCAGGATACCCATCAACTTTCAATGGGAGTTGGGCATCCTGACACCCTGGAAGAACTTGCATTTTGGCACCCCAGCCGCTGCTGCCTCCCTGGGCTACCCACCCACCCCCCACCACCCCTGATTCCTGCTGCCTGCCCCAGCCCCCAGCCCCCACCCCAGGTCATCTCTCCCTGTTCCCTGGGCCCACTGCCTCCCCGGGCTCCCCCCCCAAATTGCCCTGAGCTTCCTTCCGTGGCCTCCCACCCCAGGCTTGCCCCATTCCTTGTCTCTTGACTATGGTGCCCCTTGACCACAGTGCCCTGAGCAGTTGCCTTAGCTGACGCAGGCTCGTGAGACTCTGGCTGCAGGGCTGTAAAATTGCTGTGTAGTTGTTTGGGCTCTGGCTGGAGCCTGGACTCTAGGATCCTCCCCGCTCATGGGATCCCAGAGCTCAGGCTCGAGCCCGAGAGCCTGAACATCTACACAGCCATTTTTAGCCCCACAGCCCAAGTCCTGCCAGCCAAAGTCAGCCATGGCCACGGCCATGCCACAGGTCTTTTATTCCAATGCAGATATATCTCTAGTGGCCTTTAGGGGAGACCTTACACCAGTGGAAGATCTGGCATAGCAGAGTTCTGTTCTGTCAAATCTCCTCCATTCATGCCCTGCCCCTGACATGCCCTCTCTTTCTCCTTATGCCAGGGCAGCTGGCATAGGAGGTGACAGCTATCCCAGCGGTATGCCAGTAAAGAGAATTCCCCTGCCCAAAGCCATTTTACAATGCTGTGGTGCACAGTGGCCTTGATGGTCTAGAGAATCCACCCTTAAGCCTTTATAAATCTATCTACAGTTCATGGTTCCATTATCCTCTAGGAGTTTACTGATTTTGTTCACTTAATATTTATTCCATTACTTTAATAAAGATCTACAAACAAAGACTTAATGAATAGCAATTGCCGGGATCATTCTCCTTTCCTTTCTTCAAAGTGCAGGACTATATTTGCTGGTGTGTAGTCTTCTGGTCTCTTCCCACTTTTCCATGAATGTTCAGTAATGATTGTCAGTGGTATGTTAATTTTGTCAATTCCCTTTGTGCCCTAGAATGTATATTGTCTGAACCTGCAGATTTATGTATATTCAGATGTTCTCAGTTTGTCTTTACTTGCACTTTAACATATATTATTTTTACAGGATCTTCCTCACTTCTTACTAGGCCAGACTTTTGTTATTTTTCATGTTGAACATAGATTTTGAAAAGGAGATAATTATCTTCATCATATTTGAGTTGTCATTAATGACATCTCCTTCATCAAATGTTACTTTGTCTCTAGAAAATATCTTTCCCTCCTTATTCCTTTTAGCTAGACGAGTCAGAATTTTTCATCAAAATGATTTTTTGATGAAAAATACCATTTTTGGCAATATTGAAATGTTTAGAAAAGCATGTCGATTTTTGGGTCCTGGTACCAAACTGAGTCTGTTCTCGCCATCTGACACTTTCTCTCTACTGGTAGGAAGTACATCCAAAATGGTTTCTCTTCTAGTTGGAGTTTCTACTTTTTTTTATCATAAAGTTGTCTTGTAGTGTATGTAACTTAGGAAGCATTTTAACAATCCATGTTTGGCTGTGTTTATAACCCAACTGGTAAATGGCCAAATAAAATCCCTCGTGAATGGGTATCCACTGGTTCTGACTGCGCTGAAAGTTGGCCCAGCTTTTTTTCATTCTTGTTCTCATCTAGTCTTGGTAGTCTCTAGACAGTGAGCCACTCTCATATTTTCATTCTGAATAGGGATTTTTAGAAGCTTTGCCCAATTAAGTCTGTGATTAACTTTATTTTTGCCCTCTCTTTTGAAATGATATTTTTCTGCTTTTTAATTATTTGTAACCCTTTTTCACAGGGAATTCAGAGAATTGTAAACCCTGTCCAAGACCTGTGGGTTGTTGTAATTAATTGCAGATGAATAGGTTTCGTCCCACTTTGTAAGCATTTCTGGAGTGATCAATTTGGTCCACTTTAATATAACTTTAGCTTCTGCTTTAATGTGGCTGTAGATTTTACATGGACTGTGTACATTGGAAAGCAGAAGGCTCATTTTCACATTAATAATAAGTATTAAAGTTTTAGTTGTTCTTTAACTGCATCATCATCCTCATTAAAAATATTTTGCATACACATCCCACCTTTCACCTGAGTATCTCAAAGTATTTTACAAGCATGGGTAAGTATTATTATCTCATCTTGTGGATGGACATAATAGTATTACAAACTGAGGCTCAAATAAATTCAATGGTTTATTAGAAATTACAGAGTGAGTCACTGAATGAATAACCTATGCCTCCTGACAGTTATTGTTTTGTATTATTGTATTGCCTAGTAGACCCTAGCCAGCATTGGAGCTCCATTGTGACAGGCACTATTACAACACATCATATGACACACTCTGCCCTTAAGAGTTTATAAGCTAAACAGACAAAACAGGCGATGCTTCAGGAAAAGGGATTAATATACCCATTTTACAGATGAGGAACTGATATGTAGAGAGAGGCAGTGTCACCTTGGGCAAGTTTCTGAAAGTCCCAGACCCAGGAATGAAACCAGATCTCCTAATCAAGTACCTTCACCACTAGACCACATTTCCTCATAATAGGGTCGCATGCTCTGTTCCAGTGCATGAGGTATGAGGAAAGGACATATGCCACAAAAAAATTGCTAGGGGCTCTCCCATGCTAAATCTCAAGATATGATTATGTTACAAAAGAGAGCTTTATTTTAATGAATAGGTAAAGTTTTAAAATAATACCTCTCAAGTTTTATCTTATGAATAATTTTATTGTAGATAACATGGTGATGGGCTGACAATAAACACACAGAGGAGCAAGTAGAATTATTATCACAGATGATGGACGCTATATACAATGCATGGCAGTTTTTTCCTTTGTTATAATTCTTTGCTGAGATATTGTTCAGCTGAATTCAAAACACAGCAGCTTCCTTAAGGGAAAATTGATCAATTTGTTTTCCTCATCTTTGCCCCTGTTGCCCACAAGCTTGATGAAATCAGTCTCTCTGAAGGCAGCACAGTGGATTTGGGAAATTCTGCAGAGCTACTGGAACAGATCCCCGACCTGGCTGATGATTTAATGGAACCTGAGAACTGTTTTCCAGAAGGTAAGGACCTGCTTACTTCACTGTGATTGTAAAGTGTAAAACATGTCTCCACATTAACACCAAGGTGTTCTGGCTACTTGCATTAGTATTTCACCGATGTACTTCATTTCACAGATACTGTTATGCTCCAAACACATACGCAATAGGCAGCAGTTACTTGTTAACATTTGTCTGTGAATTTCTAAAGCCTGATAAGACTGGAAGCCTAAATTGCTGCATAGCTTTTAGCTTGATAGGCTTTTTGCATCATACTTTGTGCTGTGCAGCTTATTTTATGAAGTTGTTTTGACCTGGCTTTGTGTCTTCAAAGACGTGTGTGTACTCAGAATTGGTACACAACTAATCTGAGCTCACTGGAAGGTAATGGGTTAGTAGATACCACCTAGAAAGTTCATGATTCCCAGGGATTGATTTGTATTTATTTTCCTGGCTGCTCCTTACTGTTGTTTGAAAGTAACTAAAATGTATTGTAAAAGACATTAAGATTAGCATGCTCACTAACTTTGATCTGACAGATGGTATGATACAAACAGGGCATTCAAGTAAATTATATTAGATAGTATCCTAATGCTTTTATGTATCCATCTTTAATATCAAAATATGCCAGCATTTTACCAATTTAAACTCCACCCATCACTGAAATGCAGGGATAAAGCACAACAACTGTATTGAGAGCCCTTAGCTTTAGCTAAATCCTTAAGGGAAATGTCTCTCAAATGCGGTTTCTTCTCAAAGTGAGTTTCTATTCCAATTGATTTTTCAATTAGATTCCACAGTTCCATTAGTTCTTTGTGGGGGAAAGACAGTTAGGTGAATTTTAGTTAATCAATGAGTTATATTCCCTTGAAAATTCAAGGAGTATTATACTCAGAAACAGGGCAGCTCAGATGGGATCAGACAGGGATAATTCCCAGGGTATTTGAGAGCATGTGAAATCAGCAAAAATGTGTGTCTGAGTGTGAGAGAGATGATTGAATGAGGTAAGGGAGCCCTGCAGGGCTTACAAATGTCTCTAGGACCTAAATATTTTCTTGGCAGCTCTGCTTAAAAGCAATAGTCAAAGAGTAACGCAGTTAACTGAAGATAGCATGTACTATGCTGCAGCTATTCCAGTCAATACAATAGATTAGATGTGGTGTTTCCATTCTCTCATAACAGACTTCTTATTGCGGCGAGTGAGCAGTGAGCCCTATTGCTTACTGCAAAGTTGCAATTATAATGGCACACAAAAATCCTACATTGAAAGAACATTATTACAGTTGCAAAATCAAGCACTCAAGGTTAGGGGTGCCAAAATTAAGGTTGCTCATGCTTCATGGTACAGTCTTTAATTAGAAGATAATTCACGGCCATGAAAAACGCGTCATGGACTGTGAAATCTGGTCTCCCTCCGTGAAGTCTGGTCTTTTGTATGCTTTTACCCTATATTGTGCAGATTTCAAAGTGGGGAACAGCATTTCTCAAATTGGGGGTTCTGACCCAAAAGAGAATTGCAGAGGGGTCAGAAGGTTATTTTAGCAGGGTCGTGGTATTGCCACCCTTACTTCTGTGCTGCCTTCAGAACTGGGTAGCTGGAGAGTGGCATCCATTGGCCAGGGGCCCAGCTCTGAAGGCAGCACTCCACCAGCAGCAGCACAGAAGGTTGGCAATACCATACTATGCCACCCTTACTTCTGCGCTGTTGCCTTCAGAGCTGGGTCGGCTGGAGAGTGGCGGTTGCTGACTGAGGGCCCAGCTCTGCAGGCAGCAGCGCAGAAGTAAGGGTGGCAATACCATACCAGGCCATACTTACTTCTGCGCTGCTGGTGGTGGCGGCTCTGCCTTCAGAGCTGGGTTCCCGGCCAGCAGCCGCCACTCTCCAGCTGCCCAGCTCTGAAGGCAGCGCCGTCGCCTGGAGCAGCTCAGAAGTAAGAGTAGCAGTACTGCAACCCCCCCCCCCACAACAACCTTGTGACCCCTCCCCCCAACTCGTTTTTGGGTCAGGATCCCTACAATTATAACACCATGAAATTTCAGATTTAAATAGCTGAAATCATGAAATTTATTATTTTTAAAATCTTATGACCATGAAATTCACCAAAATGGACCGTGAATTTTGTAGGGCCCTAAAGATAACTATACAAAATATTTTTTCCAGAGGATCCCTGCTTCATTCAGTAAATTAGTAATTATTTAATATTTCACCATCCTTTCTCCTCCTGAAGTTCCCAGCCTCATTAACTATACATCTTTTAACATCTGCAACAAATTAGGCAGGGATGTACAAACAGCCACCTCTTTACTAGACAACCCTGATTCTTTCTGAGAGCACCGTCCCTCAATATAATTAACAATTCTTAAAAAAAAAACAGAAATCCTTTCATATGGAATCATATAGCTCCACTCAGGTCATCAGCTCATTTTGAACCTTTAGATCCACAACACAGACATCTGCCACTTAAGCTAACACAGTAACTGGTAGCAATAGTAAGCTGTTATCTGCTCTGTGGACCAGCACTAGAAGAGGATGAGAGACAGGTTTTGCCAGTTGTGAAACCACTATATGCTGGCCGCAGATGAATGTAGAATGTTGACCAAAACTGTCTGTGAATTTGATATGACTATTTAAATTTGAACAAGAGAGGATCCCTGCAGAATACCCTACAGCTCAGAAGTTAGGGCATTCAGCTTCAGCATGCCAGACACAAGTTCAAATCCCTCCTCTTCATTAGGCAGAGGGGGAATTGAACTGTTTTGTTTCATCAAGAAAACCAAAAAAATTGTGATTTGGTTCAGTCCAAAATTAATTTTTTTTTCTTCAGCCAGTGGGTCATTCTTACGGCCAGTTAGTGTGAAAGCAGCATCCACTCAGTGCCAGCTATTTTGGCATTTTTTCCTCCAGATACATTGCAACATTATGGTGCTGTTACTTCCACTGGAACGTGTTCTCTCTGCATTGCTAGCAGAATTGCAACTGGTGCATTATCTTCTGTGCCTCAGAGAAGGTCATTCAAAGAGAACCACTGGTCCGAGTTTTCTCCTCACTCCGAGTCTAAGAGGGGAGCAATTTCTCTTTGAGCACCTTCACATGTAAATTTGAAGGTACAGACCCTTTAAACTTAGCAGTAGGCTCAAAAAAATCTTCAGAGGAATTGCTGGAGTGGATGCCTTGCTCAGCAAGCACTTAGTACCAACTAACAATATCTCCGTTTTGTTTTGCTTAAATTATAAACTTCCATGAAAGTATATGACATCCACAACCTGATGTTTCAGAAACAATTAGAGTAGATATCATAGCTGGATAATTCAGTGGCAAGGTGAAATAAATCTGAATATCATCTGAATAGCAATGAAAACTCAAGTCACAATCCCTAATAATTGCAGCTAGTGGCAATTTTTAAAAACAAAAGAGAAAAGGGGCCTCTGATACATCCCTGAAAAACACTGCAGCACAAATCTTAAACTGGCCCATCACGACTGTCACCAGATGATGTTTCAAGTATGATTAAAACCAAGCCAAGGCCAACAAAAGACTCTGAACATGCCAACAGGATACAGTGATTAACAGTGTCAAATATTGCCAAGAGGTCCAAAGAAACTAGAATAGAAAGAGACCTGGATACGTTGCATTCAGTTGACTGTTGGGTGCCTTCCACACAACAATCTTTGTGTTATGGTGCAGTCTTAAATCTGGGAGAGAAAAAGTTAGTAGTTGACTTTGAATCACTCTTCAAGTATTTGAGATGGAAAGCACCAGATTTGAGAGTGGGCTGAAGTCAGACATCTCCTCAGCTACTGAAGTTGGCTTCTCCCACATAGGCCTTATTATTATAGCGTGTTTAAAATGTGATGGAACAATTCAAAATTAAATGGATACATTCACAACCTTTTATTTTTAAATGCCTAAACGGAATAGGGGTGGAGGGAATCCGTAGTCTGCAAACCCATTTGCACTGAACCATATGGGTAAATTGTGGCTTTGTAACAAGCCCATGTATGCATTATCCTAAGAGCAGATCGGGACACAGATTGTGATTTAGAGGCACTTTTCCTGGATTTGGGGGTGGAGGGGAAATTACCCTGTGCCAGCCACTGTCTGGCACAGCCTACAGCCCCGGATGTGCCAGTACAGCTGTGCTAGCCAGTGCATTTATGGAGCAACGACTCCCCCCAGTCCTGTCCACATGCATGGGAGGGAGAACATAGTGGGTCTCTGCAGACAATTGGGAGTGCCTTGTACCCCACCTCCTCTCCCGCACAGATGCGCAGGACTGGCCATAATCTGGCCCATAGCAACCCTGCTTGGAAAAAATATGTTATCGCAGAGTTCTAAGTATATGACTATAGGAGTTTATATTTTGGGGGAGTTCTCTGGCCTATGTTGTACTTGAGGTGAGATTAGATTATGACAATGACCCCTTCCGACCTTGGAATCTATGAATCAGTGAATCGCATCAATACTGGTACATCCTTACGTGTTCTACAGCAGCCCAAACTTCTTGCTCAAATATAGTCAACTTTTATTGGGTTGAAAAGTGAGTGTAATTAGGACCTTATGCCAAAAGGTAACTACAAAATGGCTTTAATTTAAATATATCAATAACCAAATTTATTCTACCAAATATTACTCAAGTGCAGGTTATTCTGTGCCATGTCATGCAAGAAATTAATCTGTTTTCTTTATTTACAACAGATAATCAGCATCCCGGTCCAACTGATGCAGTTTTGACTGTTGTGTTTGTATTTAAAAGTAGTTCTGGGTATTAAATAACTGTGGATTTTTGACAAAGGGTCTACAGAAAGCCTCAGTGTCATTACAAATCAAGTTTTTAGTGTGAACCTCATGCTTGTGTTTTAGCCTCTAAGGTAATATATTAATATAATAAAGCTGACTCTAATGAAGATACTTGTATCAGAATGCACAAAGGTAGTGAAACTGGGTCTGATAGCTCCATAGTTTCTAGTTCCCTTAACAGGAGATTTGCATTCAAGTTTTCCAATGTGCAAAACAGAATATTTAC